ACAACATACGTGGCCGCTCCGCCCATTACATGCCCACCAGCGCATGATACTCCCGGATCATACGGGCTCCAAGAACATCCTCCCCCCACAAACAGCACTCGGATATCACGACTAGACCGGTCTCGGGGCAGCATTCCCAGAACTGCACGAGTTACAGCCCATACTCCACACCTGTTTAGATACAGAGTTACAGCACTTCAGGCACCACCTGCCACACAGACCACGTTCACGTCTCCGACACAAACCTATCGAACCGTATCTTTTACTGGCACAGGAAACGTCTGAACGTCTTCTCCTCAACTACAAACGGTCCATGGTATCTTCTCATCCGACTAGAGCATTCATTCAACACATGATTAACCATGTAATCACCCACAGCCACTACTTGGCGTGACCAGGTATCTAGCATCTGGCCACAATTGTCCACAATTGTCCACAATTGTCCACAATTGCCAACAACAGAACCTTCCTCATCCATTAGAACTTAGCTCCATTCATTCAAACTATACCTCCTGCAAATACAGGGACTGTCTGAACTTCCTCTTCTCAATTAAAACACACCCAACAGCTTGAACAAACCTTTCCTTTGATTGATATTACACGGAAAGATACAGCAAACAAGAACTGGCAGTACTTCAAACATATCTTGTACTGGAATAAACACTTATATTTCGGGATAGTCAAGCCTAATGCAACGACTTCATCCATTTCCACTATCCATCTGAAAGACTACAAACTTTTCTCAATGTAGAACGAGATTCCCGGCATCGTTGGTTCATTGACAAAATACATAGAACAGGCTGTACATCAGACAGGCTGCACATTCTCGAACACACTCGGGGAATTCAATCTCGTCCTCATGCAAACCCCATCATGCTGAAAAGAAAATTCTTATCGTAGATCCTGGCCATCGGCTCGTCCGGAATATCGCAGATAACACTTTTGACAGAACTCATTTTGATCCTAACAGAACTCATTCTGATCCTAACAGAACTCATTCTGATCTTCTGGTCCATCTCGTCCATCACAGCCAGCCATCTACTCACCTCATACCCT